AAGAAAGAGATGTACATTGTACTTTATTACTGGATAAAGAGTAAAGGGAAGAGGAATAATGTTGAGCATGTGAATTCTTTTGTAAGCAATCTGAGCAGAGGAAATAAAGGCCATCATGCATCTTACCAATTTCCAGAGGCCTCTTCAGTGAAGGGGCCTGCAACAGACAAGAAGTGTTAGAAAAAGAGACAGTGCATTGAAGATGGTTTACAAGAGAGTTGATGGAGATTAAATTGTATTTGAATGAGGGGGCATACAATACTCCTGACAAGATGATTTTAGGTGTAAGATGTACACTACCAACCACTGTGATTTTGACTCTATATCCATTTGGTAATTTGACTAACATAGGATAAGGTAGATTTACTGGATTTACAAGGTTATTTTTGTTAAAAGTCATGTGATGAGAGGCTCCTGAGTCCAGAATCCATAGGTCAGTCCTTGTTTTGAAACATTCACATGAAAGTTTGATATAATCAAGAGAAAAAGAGCAAGCAAAACCACCTGCAAAGTTCACAGATCCACACACTCCATCATTTTGAAACTGATTCAGCAAGTGAGAAACTTGATCATATTGCTCCTTGGTGATACTGATGTTCTCATTTCCTTGAGGGTCATTACAAGATGTTGAACTTGATTCCTTTGTTTGTCCACTAGTATCTCCATCACAGGATAGTCTTACAGAGTTTGCTGATGTACCTCTTCCTTTATTGTTATGCCTTGGATTTGGATATGTGTTTTGAACTGTGTTCCTTGGATTATGCTGATCACGAGCAGAGCCATTTGTGTCATTAGATGGATAGCCATGCAACTTGTAACACTTTGCTCTAACATGTCCTGGTCTTCTACAATAGTCACAGAAAGGTCTTCCTCTTGGTGTTGTGTTGGAGGTAGAATAGTTTGTTTGAAAACTTCTACCTCCTGAACTTGATGAAACTGCAGCTAGAGAACTACTCTCAGTAAACAGTTGATTATTTGGTTTAAATTCTCGTTGTTTTTCCTCCTGCACTAGTAAGGCAAAAGCTTGTGCCAAGGATGGCAAGGGATTCATCATCAAGATACTTCCCCTAATTGTAGTATATACCACATTCAAGCCCATCAGAAATTGAATCAAACGTCTGTCTTGCTCTGCCTTCTGAACATTAGCTTTAGCTCCACATACACACACACAACTACACTGACTTGAAACACACAGACTGTTTAACTCCTCCCAAAGTTTCTTCATACGAGTGTAATATGTTGTGATATCGAGAATACCTTGATTAAGGTCATTTATCTCCTTCTGAGTTTGATACAATTTTGCTCCATTCGTCTGATCATATCGATCCTCCAGTTCTGTCCATAATTCCAAAGCATCATTAACATATTCAACACTATCAGTAATGTCTCGATCTAGAGAGTTGAGAATCCATGAAGTGACCATATCATCACATCTCACCCATTCACCTCTGGTCTCTTACACTCACCATTGATGAACACTAGCTTGTTCTTCACTGACAAGGAACGAAGTACACTACGACGCCATGAATGAAAACCAGTGCCATTGAAAGGAACTGGTACAAGTACTGCTCCAGGATTGTCTGAGGGATGAATGTAAAAGTGACTCCCTGCATCAATCCCAGATGAAGGAACACTGTCTAATGCAGTGCTCGTAGATGCAGAATTTGTCATTGTATTTTGAAAAACAAAAATCGAGTTTACAGAGGATCTGATGCGCAGATTGAAGAAGAAAAGAGGTAAGAAAATCAGGAACGTTCCTGCTCTAATACCATGTCAAATTGAAGAGAGCTGCAAAACCTCCATGGATGAAAGCTTGATTAAAGAGGAAGAAGAAGAGGCATTGAAAATGTGTGAACAATTTTCATTCAGTTGTGTAACAGAAAATGTGAGCAGGCTGTGGTTATATAACCACCAAAAACAGAAGCTAACCAAAACAGAAAACTATAACTAACTTCCTGAAAAGCTAAACTAACTAATTGAATTAACAACTAATTAATTACATTAACAGCTATGTGTAATGACTAATTTAACCTCAATAGAAATAATTACTGGAAGGATACACATAGAGCAAGTGTTTACACTCACCATCAAAAGGGCTTGGCAAATGGCTATGACAATGACTCCTTGACTTCCAGCTAAATGGAGTCCAGGGATCCCTAAATAGTCAAGTGTATCTCCCTTGAAAAAATGAAAGAAATATATAAGATTAAAAAAGGATACCTGCAATAAGCGCTGGATACTGAATTTATAAGGTCAATATGAGGTCAATAATCAAGTGGAACAACACTCTGATAAGAATATGAAATAGGTGGGTGATAGTGATACAAATTAATTATTGAAAGGAATAGCATGTTAAACACTAGATTCCAAGAATGAAATTTCATAAGAAAATTATATCAGAATTTAAAAATTGAAATTTTGAACGACAATTTTTGTAAAATCAATCCAAATTATGTTTACTCGAAAACCTGAGAACAAGGAAGCAACAACAACAAACCCAGTGTAATCCCACAAGTGGGGTCTTGGGAGGGTAGGAATTACACAGAACACAGCAGTGTTGAATAATAACTTTGCCAAGAAATAGAATTCTAGTGGATGTTTGGCTCATCATAAAACAAATCCATTTTGTACAAATAGTTGGAAGATATTAAGTTACTTTGGAGTATGTTACTATAGTTATTTATCTTCCTTGTAGCATTATCAACTCATCCGATCTCACCTACTTGCACATTCGACATGAGTTGTTTGGGTCGACAGACAAGGTTCCGCTGAGTCGATAACTGGAGAGGCGAGATTGGAGGAAAGAACAAGCATGGGAGTTTTTGGACTCGTATTATCAATAGCTAAGGGAAGCAGCATCTATCAACCAAGGGAAGTCAAGTTACAACGCATATATGAAAGATACCAACCTTAAGCTTTGAGTAGCCCACTCGCCACCAAACAGGTTCCACAAACTGGAAAAGTCCTGTCAGGTTTAAAAGTTCTGGAATCAAAGCACCAAGAGCAGCCAGCATAGCCCAACGACCATGCAATATTTCATAACTGTGAGTAACCATGACAACTGAAATAAGTTCGAATAGAATTTAACAGAGCTTCTACGTGGTTTCTGAACAAATAGTTTGTATGAGTGTGTGTTTGTTGCTATTTTGAGAATTTCAAAAGCTCCCCAAAAGATTACACAATGGGATCTCTGAACAACCACGCTAGAAGATGTTCAATCTCTCATTCCAAAAATGTCTGGGAGTAGAACAACTTTCATGTCTATGTGTGGCCCTAAACCCTGACCAGATATGAATTTTGCAACCCTTTGCTACTTCCCCTCAAATACCAATTTATAACTTTTTTTGGCTACATTTATGCTCAAGAAACATGTCTGCTTTTATTCCAACTAAAAGAGGATGGAATCATGTGAGTTGTGACCAATCACCTTAGGATCGTGGTTATTTCTCAGTAGGTTATCGTAGGCCCTCGCTCTGTTCATTTCTTTAGTGAGAGGCTCGTCTTTAAATGGATACATGTTCTGAAGAAGCATAAAAGGTCACAAATAATTTAATGGCATATGATGTTGCATTTTTTGGGAAAATACTATACATTATCTACTCAGAACAAAAGAACATTTGAAGGAGTTAATAAAAGCAAAATCCAATCCATACTTAAAGTAGTTTTGAAGGGCCACGGGATCCTTGCTCAACCCGCAGATATCAAATCCATAGTCCCCGGGTAGCTCCCCATTAAGATAAGCAGGATAGTCATAAGAAATTGGACCAAGCCAGCGGGGGCGATCTTCTCCATACCAGATACTGCAAAGAAGACAAACAAATGATAATAGTGAAAACAAAAGTGGGTATGCATAACAGTATAATATAGGAACATTTTCACAGTGGTGGAAAATAGATGGATGCATTACAGAGGAGAATGGCTTACCAAGAGATAGGGATTTACCTATCGTTTCTTGCCATTAGTGCAAGTGCTTTGAACTTAGCTGAATTCTCTACTGCAACCTTCTTTCTCTCTTCTAATCGTTTACGGAGTGTTTCACCGAAGGTACTGTTGGCGATAGCTTTGACAGCGGTGAAAGGAATCGCTGAGAATACCAGAACGCCGGCAAGCTGAATAGAATTGATTAGTTAAGTTAAGTGGTATTTGATGGCAATCAGAAGAAGCAAAAACACACCTCTTGCCATGAAGCCTTGTGACGCGAAAAGGGATCGAGTGCACTTGCATTGCGATACAACCTTTGGTCTTTAGGGACGGAGGACGATAGATGGGGAAGCTGAAGCAGTGTCATGACTCATGACCACTTGTACAATCTCCTTTGCCCATTTCTTCTTCAGATTCACTACTTTGCAACAAAAGTCATGACGTGGTTCCTTTCCAGCCTCAAAACCCAAAAGTAATCTCTTCTTCTAGCGCAATTACAAGAGATTCAACCAATCAAACGCAATTACAAGAGATTCAAATAGTTTTTAAATAAGGTTATTGAAGTCCAAAATTTTAAAATATACGACTCCTACTCATTTTCGTTTTAAGTTGAAAAATGTGATAGTAGTAAATTACCTTTAAAAGAAATTATAATTGAATGCCGAGAACTTTTCAAACAATCAAATCGTCTCACGTATGTGACTTTCATTTAACAAAAAAACTTGCACATTTGTTTGCCTTTCTCCGGGTGGATACAATATCAGCCTTGGTGGGGGTGATAATATATGCCCCTATGTGATGTGAGGAAACAAACTCCATTCCATATATTTATCGTTGAACACAAGTTATTCTAATCTCTAACGATAAACTACTAGGCCTGAATCTCAAATAAAACCATCCAATACTCATCAACTGGACCCATATACCCTTAACAAGTGATATGCTTGAAAACAAGTTTGCTTCAATTGATTTTTGTATCTTACTATGACTAATGTCCAGAGCTTTATAATGAGAAGCTTGAATTTAACGTCGCTCAATATCTACTTGTTTTATTCGTCTGTATATATATGGACATGACATTTGAACTTACCTAACAAATGCTTCATAAAGCAGTGAAGATACACTAATATAACAAACCTGAAAAGCAGATGGAGGGTTTTGTACTAGTAATTAACTGTAATCATACTAAATTGGAGAGAAATACAGTAGACAAGTCCAAGTACAACAAGAGTGAAATCCTAATAATTAATTAATTAATGGTCATAGGTGCGGCACTCGTCGGCGTCAGGGTTATTTTGACAGTAAGGTTCAAGGGGATCTTGATTAAGCTGAAGCTTGATGCGCAAATGCACCTTAGCCTAGCTAACTTCTTCCACCTCATCCCATGCCACCTTGCACTCGTCCGATCTGGCGTCTTCACTGCATACCTCCTTAGCTTCCTTCACTTTCTTCTCTATCATTTCCGTCAGCTGTTTTTCTCTCATCTGCGTCCCCTTATACTTTGGTACTCCTGCTGATCCACTCATCATCATCATCACCTTTTGCACTCCTTTCCTCCTGGATCCAGTTACACTAGCAACATGAATTGGGAATATAGATGCCTGCTTCAAGTTCAAAGCCATCACAATTATTTATTATAGATGACTTTTTTCGGATGTCTGTTGATTTCTGGTGGAAAAAAAATGTACAGATTTCTTGTGAAATTATAACGAACAATATAATCTCATATCTCTATCACAATCAGGGCATCATTTAGTACTGCTCAACTAACATAAAACGACATCGTCTGGTATTTCTCGGTTTGGAGATAAGGTTCCATCTTCAGCTTGGGGCCCATGGGAACAGTTCTTCCACCTTTGCCTTTTTCTCTTCTCCTCTCCTCTCCTGGGTGGACTTTCAGTTTTATCAAATTTTGCTTTGATTTTTTTAGTTTTTAGTTTTTACAAAAACGTGCATCTATTTCAAATCAATTCTTTTACATGTTCTAAAAAATTAATTAATTTTTATATAATCTTACAAAATGAGCAAATTGTTATTTATACACGTGTGTTATAGAGATGGCAATGGGATTGGATGTGTGTGCCGAGGGGTATGTTTATGGCTATGTTTATGGTTTTAAGGTTGTGTGGTGCGGTTAGATGTGGAGCTGATTGAAGTAGGCTTTTTAAAAATTAATGTGGAGTGGGACGGGTTGCAAGTATATGTAATTTTATGTGAATTCAAACTTATTTTTAGTTTTTACATGTTATAAGAGTGATAGAACATTATTTATTAAGATAATTTCTTTTAAGCTACTAAAATATTTAAAATAATAAATAAAAATGGTTTAATAAAAATAATAAAATTTCTTACCAATTTCCCAGTTGACCTCTTAAAAATAATTTTTAGGCCAACTACATAAACAAATTCCTAAACTTGTTGGGTTTTTCCTCTCATGTACCTCAACTACGTCATTTTTCAATTGAATCATTCAACCACCCATAATTTGTTTCTTTAAAACACTGTTGGTTGATTTTGATCAGCTTTTCTATTGTAAATGTCTTCAATTGTGTTCGAATTGTAATAATTTTGATTGAAGGAATGAAGACTAACTGTGTTAGTCTCATTTGTTTTCTAATGTGTTCAAATGACTCAAGTAAAACATAATTATTCTCAAACATTTTCACTTTCAATTGGACTAATTATTTGTGGAACAACATATGTATCCTCTATCAATACCCCTCACAAATCTGATTTCACATCAGACAACAGTGTTTGATTAAACAGAACAAATTATGGGAGTTCAATTATTCAATAGGAAAATGACGTAGTTAAGGTACCTGAGGAAAAAAACCTAATAAGTTTAGGGATCTGCTTCTGTATTTGGCCTAAATTTTAAATTACTATCCTATTAAATTAATACAACTTAATGAAAAGATAAATTTATTTTTATGAATTTTATCTTAGTATCAAATATAATTAGAAAAAGAAAATATTAAAAAAATTATGGGAGGCAGGTTGAAAATGAAAAGAGTTGTCATGCAGGGCGCGACGAGGCGCGGCAGATTAAAATTTTTGCGGGTTAAACTCAACCCACAACACCCCACCCTACACCACCGCATTGCCATCTCTAATGTATTTTTAATAACTTAATCTTTGTATTTTTTAAAAAATAAATGTTTGAAATTATAAATTTGTATTATTTTTATAATTAACCACTAGTCAATAAATAATATTGATTAATTATTATTTTAACGAAAAAGACTCATAAATATTCATAAACTATCTGAAATAACTCATATTTACGTTTAAACTATATTTCAGTTCAAAACTATCCTTCCCATAATACTATTGGGTCAAAAATATATTTCTTATTAACGGAATTTGTTAAATGTCATGTGGATGTCACATTCCATGTCAATTTGGTTCTACTGCCACATAGAATAAATGGAAAAGGGGTAAAAAATACCCTTAAACTATTCGAAATAGCTCATATTTATCCTTAAACTATATTTCGGCTCAAAACTATCATTCCCGTCAAACTATTGGATTAAAAATATCTTCTTATTGATGAAAATTGTTAAATATTATGTGAATATCAGATTGATTGCAAATAAGATTTCATTGTCACATAAACTAAATCTCTAAATTTGAATTAAATTGAATTAAATATTTTACTAATAGGTCATATTATTAATTTCCGGGTAAATTCCAACGGTCTAAATTCGATGTACTTGGCCCACTTTGTTGTTTGTAGTAGCGCACTCGTTAAAAAACATTACTTATCTTATATTCAATCATGGTGGGACCAATAATATTGCGAAAATCTGGAATTTAAAGGAGGGTCCAACGGCTATGAAAGGAAGGGTTTAGGGCACAAAACAATTTCAAATTTGAAAGAAGGCTCTCAAAAAAACACCACCACAAGGAAGCAGCAAGAAGAAGAAATGGAGAAGGTAGGAGGAGATTACGTATTGGATAAGGAGGCAGAGTTCTTAGCGTCGAAGCAAGAGACTGGTCACGAGTGGGAACTCTTCAAGGAAAATGTCAGACCTTTGAAGAGAGGACGCAACGTTAATCTTCTCAATAATGCTCTTAAGTCTAGTACCGATTATCAACTCAAGAAATCTCTTCTTGACAAACGAAGGTTCCTCTATTTCTTCTTCTTTGCATTTTCATGACATTTACTCCTGAGGTTGGTCCAAAATGCAATTACTATTCCATCCCGCACTAGATTTTGATTAAGATGTACACGCTAGTTGTAGAATAGTAGCAGTTGCTGCATCCCTTATTAATTTTTGAATTCAACTCTTTCTGATTAGGGAATTTATTGAAGCAATTGACAAGTACAAAGGTGAAGATCCTCTTCACCCATGGCTCCAGTGAGTGCTCTTCTTTTCAGATGCAAATAATTTTTCAACTCTTATATCTTCTACTAGCATTTAATGAGTCAATCTCTGTTATTGAATAAACTGCTGACATAATTTTACATTAAAATTGTGAAGGTGCATCAAGTGGGTGCAAGAGGCTTTCCCTCCCGGTGGGGACAGTTCTGGACTTATAGTTATTTATGAACAATGTGTCCGCACCTTTTGGCACGATGAACTATATAAGAATGACCTCCGTTACTTGAAAGTGTGGCTGGAATATGTGAGTTTGATTTCTCCACATCCATTCTTTTGCCCCTAAATCTTCTCATCATGCAATTTGGTAAATCAGTTTTCTTATTGATGGCTCTTTGCAGGCTGAAAATTGTATGGATGCTGAAGTCATTTATAGCTTTCTGGAGGCTAACAAAATTGGACTGACACATTCTTCATTCTACATAGCCTATGCTTTGCACATGGAATCTCAAAATAAAATTAAAACAGCAAACGAGATCTTCAATCGGGGGCTATCTATGTAAGTTGTGTTTCCATTGAGCCTTGGTTTAATTTTAGCCGTAAAGTTAGGTTCTTGCATAGTTAACATTGTGTTTCACTTCACACTAGGCAAGTGAACACGTCTTGGTTCCAGAGAAGTTATGCTATATGTTGTCTATGATGTGAGATGCATCATTCAAATGGTTTATTGAATTGCTGTCTGATATTTTTGTTCAAATAGCGTTTGATATGTCAAGTCTAATGATGTCTACGAAAGTTGCATTAATTGTATGCTAGTATTGAGTAATGTGTGGGGGCTGGGGGGGGGGGGAGGGGATTTATGTTTGAAGCTTCGCCAAAATGAGTTCAGTGTTAAGTATGAAGCTGCACGGATAAGTATGTGGTGTCCCCTTCATATTGACCTACTAATTTTCATACCTTGAATACTAAGACAATTTCATTTGATAAGCTCAGAGGTCAGAACTGTGGTAGATTACATTGCTTACGGTCCCTTATTTTATGTTCTTTCAATATATGCTCATGTGACCGAATAATAAACTAAAGGCCGTGATCGTATGACAGTGGTATGCTTCTAGAAAACTTTATAATTATTAATTGCCATATGATGAACATATTTGATATCCTTATTAAGGAAATTTTGTATAAGCCGAGTAATATGATTATGAAGAACTACATGTATCTTTTTGAATTATGAAATGATTGGTTCCTTTATAGGCATCAATTGAATCAGATAGTACCATGTCACACAATTATGTTAAGCATTTGTACAGGATGAACAACAGAGACGTTATCATTGAGAAATTTGTGCTCTGGAATTAATCATTTATTTAGCTAATATAGATATTTCAGGTATGGCAGCATGCAAAATAGCCAGTGCCACTGTTCATTGAACTTTGCTTAATTACACAACCTAATCATGTTGTTTGTAACTTGTATAGCATGATTTTCTACTAAGAGCATTTCATGCCTTCAAAACAGCAAGTCTCTGTATGTGTTTCTAATAAAATGCTCTAGCTATCAACTGTTGACATAAGAATATATTGAAATATTTATTTCTTGTTCACATTTGCCTCATTCTTGAGGGACCTTTTATATTCTCTCTCTACTTGTTTTAACTTCTGATGGGGATGTGAATGCTATGATGCTGGCCAAACTTGCTGGCAGAATAATGCTACAGCAAGGTGAAAATTCTAATATATTTGGCATGATATTATTGTGGATGCTCAATTGGTTTTAGATATTACCTGACACCTAAATACCTTTGGGGGTAGTTTGGTTGTTGGATAGAGTTGTGCAGGTATTAGTTATGTAGGGTTCAATTATTTACGTATTACTAATTCATGTATTAGTTATACCATCTTCAAAGCTGCATAAAATAATACATAGATTGACGCCTAACTAGTACATGTTTTAGTTATGTGAGATTGTAAACCGTAAGCAAAAAACCATACTTGATGTGCTGAGTTTTATACATAGCAACTAAAATGCTGCCAAAAATGGTACTAGTTTATGCAGATTTTAATATATGAATAATCTAACCAACAACTAAACGACCCCTTGGGCTGCCTCAACAAGATTGTGGATGCTCTTTTTTCAAGCTTTCTTAGCCACTAATGAGTCTTTTCCATTAGAGATACAGTTAATACAAGTACAGAACACTGATTACACCAAGTAACCTTCCTCCTGCTTGTTCTCATCCACTTATAAGCCTATTTACTGACTCCCTCAGCTGGTTTATGATTAAAATTTCCGTCTCCAATGAATCAGGAATGCAGAACCTGAAGAGAAATTGAAAGTATCCTACAAGAAGTTTTTCAGTCGTTCAATGGGTCGCCCCAAAGCAGCAGAGGTATCAATTATTGTGACGACTTAAGTCCATTGTCGTTTGCTTTGATTTGAATTTGTGACGATTTGTATTTCAGGAGGAGATAACAGAACACCAGCTTCCAATGAGAAGCTTTGGCACACTGTTGGCTAGGGGGGAAGCTCGTAAGTGCATTTCTATGTCGTAG